GTCTGGCGATGGGGAAAGCCTCCTCCAGAGATCAGAGGGAGGAAGGAGGAGGTGGATGGGATATTTATTTCTCTGGTTCTCCCCTTGCAGGGTTACTTTGGGTCAACTATGTCCACCAAGCAAAGGTCACTGGTCCTCTCCAGTTGGCCCTCTCTATACAACTCTCTGCTTCCGGTTTTGTAAACACTTCTTCTCTCTATTCCTATGTGCCCAGGAATGTAACAGGTCCATAGTCCTATCTCTGGAATATTGAACTATATTTGTTGTTTTCCTGCACAAAGCCTATCGTTGTAAGTAGCTCCCTTATTAAACTATCCTTGAATTACACTGATTTGAGGATGCCACAATTTTCCTATTGGAGTTTGATTATGAGTCAGGAACAGGATTCTCAAATAAATGAAGAAGTCATGTTGCAATTGACTCTTTTTTTTTTAATGGTTTCTTCCCATTAGCTTAGATTTCTACCTAAGAAGTCTGTTTCTAACTACGTAATTTGCCATTACCTTCTACTCACTAGTAATTGAAAATTGTTCAATGCCATTAGTTAATTGATCACAAATAGATCACATATTATCAATGAGAATATTTTCATCTGTGTGCACGACACCTCTGTTATCAGGATTACCAGTCAGCTCTTATCTGCACGTACTCACACCACTTCAATAACTTCCCCATCACGCAAAGAATGAATGATAGATGAATCACAGAGTTCAACGTTTTTCTGCTATCAGCTCCTCTAACTTATTTGCCCTTTTGGCTGATGAACATTTTGTGCAAGAATAAAGTTTGACATCATCATCTCTTCATTAGTTGCCAAAAAGTCTTCAAAGCCCCTATGGGCAGGTTCATTTTTCAACCATCATCGTAGACAGAGTCTGTGCCAACCCCTTGAGAAGGTTGATTGGTCAGCATCATTCCGAACATTGGCAGCTGTGGAAATGACATTCTGAAGACTGAACTCTTTCGGGAGTCATGGAATCCTATGCCCTGTGATGGTAGCAAGCACACAGTCTGAAATAAGTGTTTATCCTTGCTCTACAGTCATGTGTACTCAGGCTGTAATACACATATCCCACTGGGGAGAAAGAAAAGCTGAAATCCTGCTTTTCACATGAAGTTCAGGAAGCAGGTGTACATAGCAATTTTCCAGGAATGATAATATCTTAAAACTGGTATGTATTTTTCAGTCCGGAATGCCTGCAGTGAGTCTGCACCAGTGATACAAAATGACTAGTAACTGGTCAGAAAGCATTTCCTGGGTTACTCAGACTGTCTTGTTTGCATAACAATGGACAGTAAATTGCAAACGCCCTTCAATGATGGCGAACGTTGGCTTGTTCCAGGTAGTTCCACACCTACCCTGTGTGCACCTGCGGCACCTGGCACACCAAGAACTGTCAGCAGGGTGGAGCCGATCGGTGGGCCTCGTCAGCCATCTGCAGAGCAGAATGATTCCCACAGCTGATTGTTCATGTCAGAGTTTTCATCAGATAATATCATAGCAAACCCACTGATGCAATGTTCAGCAGCCTCTGCCTGAGGCTAAAACCAACAGTAGTTAGCATATTGATGCAAAAAGACCCATTGGAAGGCCAATGGACTTTGATATTCAGCAGGGCTGAAAATCAGCGTAATATTGCCCTGCTGTGGGCTCAAGGGCTCAAGGGCTCAAGGCAATTCCCTAACTCAGTGGTCCGCAAATGCGTGCCAGTCACATGAGGCTCTTTGGCCCCTTGAGTGTGTCCATGAAGTTTCAATTGCACTGTACATGCGTGCCCGCACGTGGTATTTTGTGGAAGAGCCGCACTCAAAGGGCTGCAGTTTGCCGACCACTACCCTAACCTGATAATCCTTTTTCTGTTTACCAAACTTTACCTGTGATATACTAGTATGCATTGCTAAAGGGCACATGTGTACTGAAGTGATTAAAAGCAGACGGAATCCAGTTTCAGTGTACTCCTCATGAAAGAGACACCCCTGGTCCCCAATGCCTTCTAAATTCATATTTCTTGTATAGCATTTTCATTTGTGCATTGGCCCCTCCTTCAGATCCTGAACCCCCACCACAAAAGGTTGCAGCAGCCTCATTATCAGCAAAATCATTTTCACCTCCGATGTTGGCATTGTCTTATTTCAGTTATACATAAAGTAAAAAATTATTCTCCAAAAGCAACAACAACAAAAGTGTGCAAGTGTGGCTGGTAAGGCTAACTATTCAGCTCAGGGTCAAGAACTGCCTCTAAATGAGTTTTGGTGCCAAGTTTACACAAAAATAGACTGGGAGTCTCATAAGCTCCCCCACCCCAAGCTGTCTTTTGCTTAGTAGTTGGCAGAAATATCTTTTTCTATGCCTTTACTCTCAGTGTTTCCATGTCTTTAGAGTTTATGTGTTTCTCATGTGTATGACACTTACATGGACTTGTGTTTTTTAAATTCAATCTGGCATTATTTGGTGCATTGAGTCTACATATGTTTACATTAGCAAAATTATTGATATACTAGTAGCCCTGCGCACGAATCTGTGCACTTGTAGCTCGCTGCCCCGCCCTCCTATAGCTCTCTGCTGCTTGTAGATTGATTGTGATGTTACAGCGTCCTGGCTAATTTGCATATTCTTCTATTATTATAATATTAGATTTGTACTTACTTTTACCAACTAATCTTTTGAATCCTACTTCTTTTTCTTCTCTCAACTCTTTTTAATTGATTTCTTTTTTCTTATCAATTCTTATTTAAATATTAAGAAATACATATGTTCTGTTTCTATTCATGATTTTTATTGAATTTTACCATGCACATTTAATTTGGCAAAGTCTAATAGCCAACTCTGCTTATGAACAGCATAAACACCTTAGAATACTGTTGCATCTGTGTTGGGTCTGCCAGGCAGGCAGTCAAAAAATAGAAGATGCACATGAAGTGAGAGAAGCAAAGACAACTGGAACCTGCAGGTCTGAGCTGGAACCACAAGGACAGACTGTAAGTAACCATGTCAGTTTCTCACCAGCCCCAAGGCTCCAGTGGAGGTGACCTGCAGAAGAAACTGGTGCCCTTTGCTGTGAAGCAAACACATAATTGGCCCAAGAGAAGTGGAAACCATAAGAGCTGGGACCTGATATCAGGATTTTGCTGAGAAATTTCCTAGTCTTATAAGGCTCTTCTTTTGCAGTGATGTCAACTTCATCTGAGTGCTCTGAAGATCTTCTCTTTGACTTTTGTGTTCTGAAGTTTTAGAATGTGAGCCATCAGATAAGCACCAATGTGCATGAGCTGAAACAGCATCTCTTATCTGAACTAAAAAGAAGTTGGCTGCTGCTTCACAATTGCCTTCTAAATCTGTTACAAAATGTCTCTGATCACCCATGCTATCTGGATCCATACAGGAAAGAAAATTCTTGGAAATCGAGTTCAGCCAGGCTAAGTCAACACAACACAAATCCACTGCAATGCTTTTATTGATTTTTTACAGAGAGGAAGGGAGAGGAATAGAGAGTTAGAAAGATCGATGAGAGAGAAACATCGATCAGCTGCCTCCTGCACACCTCCTACTGGAGATGTGCCTGCAACCAAGGTACATGCCCTTGACCGGAATCGAACCTGGGATCCTTCAGTCCACAGGCTGATGCTCTATCCATTGAGCCAAACCGGGTAGAGCTTTCTAACTGTTTTTAATATCTTCTCTTTGACTTTGGTGTTTTGTTGTTTCAAAACGTTGTAGCCAGCATTGCACCACTTTTTATTTGTCCTGCATACCCAGGCATGCCTCTTGTATCCATAGATTTAAGTTTTTCATCATTTTTGAAATATTATATCTGCCATCTATTTAATGTTGCTTCTTCTTTGCTCTCTATATGTTCTCATTCTGAGATTTTGATTTTTAAACACTCTCATTCTGTTGATCGTATCTCTTAACTTAATTTTCATATTCTCCAACTACTTGTTTCTCTGTGTTATATTTTGGGTAATTTCTTTGGTTTTATCTTCCAATTCACCACTTTTTTCATCACCTGTGTGTAATTTACTATCTAACTTGTTCACTGAGTTTGCTGTTTCAACAGGTTTACACACACACACTTAAAACTATACATATGTATTGTATAGTTATATTTATGCATATATGTACATATGTATACATATATATATACACACATATACATATATATGTGTACATATTCTATCTTTCTTTCATAAATTTGCCTGGTCATTCTCTTTAGCTTGTTCATTGTTATGATTTTATTCTTTATTTTTTTAAACATTTTAGTCATGTAGTTCAATAATCCATAATCCCTGGGACCCTAAAGCTATTGTTTGTTGTCACTACCTATTTTCTTTCTATATATATATATTTCAGAGAGGAAGGGAGAGGGAGAGAGAGATAGAAACATCAATGATGAGAGAGAATCATTGGTCGGCTGCCTCCTGTACGTCCCCCACTGGGGATAGAGTCTACAACCCGGGCATGTGCCCTTGACCGGAATTGAACCCAGGACCCTTCCGTCCTCACTGCCTATTTCATTCATTCACAGAGATTTGCTGATTTTTGATGAGCCCTTTGCTTCATCTCAATTTGAGTGACTCCCGTCATCCCAAACTGGAGACACTTTACTCCAGGAGGGAGTCTTTTCTCCTTCTGCTTGGACTCCGTGATGCCACTCTCTCAGGATCACCTCATCCCTCATCCCCAAGGCCTTGACCTCCCACAAGAGGCCCTGGTCCAGCCTCCCCCCCCCTCATGGGCCTCCCCAGGACTCAGTATTCTACCAGCAGCATTGCCTGTGCATTTCAGGACAATCTCGAAATGGGGGCCAAGTGGATTCAGGCCCCAGCTCTGACTATGGTGGGCAGGGGGGAGGTTGGGGGGTCATTGGAGAACCCCACCACTTCTTGCAAGGCTCATAGTTGTTTGAAGCGTGTGCCTTATCTAGGGCCTAGTTGTTCTGCAGCGGTTGGAGCTGTCCATGAATCCGGCCAAGCAACACGTTAGAAGCCAAACCACTGGATTTGTGTGAGCAGACGTGGCAAGGTCTGTTTAATTTCTCTTAAAGGGAAGTTTCGTCAGGTGTCCCCTCCCTGCCCGGGGACACCATCAGCTCAGGGGACTGTGTTGTAGACCTTGTAGTCGTCCTCCTGGGTGATGTGCAGCTTCCAGGGGAAGAGGCGCTTCTGGGAGGGGAGCGCTTGGGCCTGCTTCACCATGAGCCGCACATCCTCATCTGAGAGCAGCCGAACCAGGTCCCCGTCAGCGTCCCGGTAATTTAAGCTGATGTCCTCCCTCTGGAACTCCTGCCTGGGTGGGAAAGATCAGGGTGAACGACAGGGCCAGCAGCCTTAGGCCTAAGCATGGGGGCTGAGAGTGAGGCCGAGGGAATTTTAGGGCCTGGTCCTGAAAATCAGAAGAAGTCGGAGCTTGACACAGGCCTTATCACCTGAGGGGTCCAACCTCCCACTGTACAGATAGAGAAACTGAGGCCCACGGGGGAGGGGGGAGACTTTCCCATTAAATTAGTGGCACAGCCTGAAATGTCTTGTGTATAAATGTGCTGAACACCCAAGATCTGTCATGCGGAAGAGGAGTGGGGTTGGCAGGTACATAGCAGAGCAGAATAAAGCCCAAGAGGCACCCGTGTGAAGCGGCTGAGGACTGGGACGATCTGATGTGGGGTACAGGGGGTGGGCACTCTGACTGACTGGCAAACACCTTGACCCCCAAATTCCACTCCTAGAAAATCATCCTAAGGAAATTATCAGGCGAGTCTCCAAAGCTGTGATCACAACATTACGTCTGGTGGTGAAAAGGCGGAGGATAACTTAAGAGGCCTTAAAACGGCGGTTCTCAACCTGTGCGTCGCGACCCTTTCACAGGGGTCGCCTAAGACCCTCGGAAAACACATATATAATTACATCTTGTTTTTGTGATTCATCATTAATTATGCTTTAATTATGTACAATTTGTAACAATGAAATTGGGGGTCCCCACAACATGAGGAACTGTATTAAAGGGTCGCGGCGTTAGGAGGGTTGAGAACCACTGCCTTAAAAGAAGGGGGTGGCCACAGTAATTAATACTGGGCAGCCAATTCTTTATGTGGGGGCGGGATGGGGTGTGTGCTGAAGAAATCTGAGAGTACATCAAATAATGAGAGGAGGGAAAATATGAGGTGATTTCACTAGTTTATACTTTTCTGGGATTTCTTACTTTTTTTTAAATAATGAACAGGTATGACTTTTATAGCCAGGAAGGTAGCAAGGCGATTTCCATTCTGTAAAGTAACTGCCCCAACTGATCTGGATCTTGGGAGACGGTAGTTCCCTGATGGTGCAGGATCCAAGTTCAAGGTTTTCACCTGAAGAGACTTTAGCTCCAGCTGCAAAGCCACACTCACAAACTGTGTGACCTCGTCCAAACCCCTTTGCCTTTCTGCAGCCCCCCACGCCTCTCTGACACGGGGAGCTGACACCCAGCCTGCAGGGCTGGGCCGTGCTTAAAACAAGAAGGCAAAATAGATGCAGATAGCACCCAAGGCATTGTGTTTCCCCTTCTGATCCCTCCTCCAGGGTCCGTGACCCATTCCTCCGCCCCGTCCTCCCCCCACCCCCCACCCCGCCCCTCACCTCATGAGCTTCAGCAGGTCCCTGAAGAGCGGGGTGCTACTGATGTCTTCCTCCACTGCAATGTCCCTGAGGGGGCAACCGGCATCGGTGAGAGGCACTGGGCCCAGACAGGGAACTGGGGAGTAGGCTGGCCAGGCCACGATGGGCCCTGACACCCTGTTATGGCTTATCCGGGGGACAGTCAGGGCCACTCAGGCTTGAAGGGTGGGCAGGGGGGTGGGGGCGACACAGTGTCTGATGTGGGTCTCACGGTCCAGTATGTGGTAGGGAGGTGGGAGTGGGGATGGCCAAGGAGTGTGGGCCGGGCCCTCCCCCGGCCACGTACTTGATGGTGCTGATGGTGTCCTCATAGTAGTAGCAGCGCAGCCAGTTGGTGGGGTCGTCTTCCTCGGGGAAGTCCTTGAGGATCTTCACGAAGGACCGCGGGAAGATGCCGGTGGCTCCCCGGACAGTGCCCTGAGGAAGGAAAAGGGCCCCTTGTCTGCATGAGGAAGGGCAGCAGGGCCACGCCTCGGGGCCCCCAGCGCCTTCGTCATGACCAGCAAAGGCCACGGAGTTCGGGTTCCCTTCTGGAGCGGTGGAGAGGTGACTGAGGTCCCCGAGCTGTACATCTAAGAAGTTTCCTTTCTGCTGTCATCTTTCATCCATCCACCCATTCACGCACTCGCCCATTCACAGATTCCCTGAGCACCAGCTACATGGCTGAGAGTGGGTGACAGTCCTGGCCGTCCCTCACGGAACCCCCACTATAATGGAAAGTGACACGTGCAGGTAAATAGTGAACTTCGTGGAGAGTCAGGTGTTAACGTGGAAGACAGAACAGGGAGGGAGAAGGAGGAGTGGTTCCCACTCATTCATTCATTCACTCATTCATCCCACAGATCCCACCGAACACCCACGTGAGACGCCACAGCCAGCATCTCCCTCTCCAGCCCCGGCTCCCCCCTAAGCCTCCCCAAGACCCAGCCACTGCCGGTGCTTTGCACACATGTCCCCCTGGCCCTCCCAACCCCAGGGGAGACATGGTTTATGTCCATTTTACAGACAGAGAAGCGGAAGCTCCACGTAATCGCCTCACTTCTCCCCGAGTCTCCCCTCCCCCGAGGCCAGAAGTTAGCCAGCAGACTGAGGCTGAGAACTCTCCCGAAAACAGGAAGGCCACACGCATGCCCTGTTTCCGGAGCGTGGCCCAGCCGTACCCCTCGGGCAGCTGTCCGAGCTGAGGACCGTCTACCTCAGACTTCCAGGATGGGGGAGGGGGAGTGGACAGGGTGGGGGGTAAAATCAAAACCACCAAGACTGATGGTTCTGCCCCTCTGCAGCCCGGAATGCCGGGCCCCTCCCCTGCCCTCCATGCTCCCCTCGGGGCCTGTCCCACATCAGCCTTCAGACACCACCGCCCAGGAGCCCTGACAGAAAGGAATCTTATTTAAGAATAACAGGACCGGTATGGCTCAGTGGTTGAGCGTCATCCTAGGAACCAGGAGATCACGGTTCTATTCCTGGTCAGGGCACATGCCCGGGTTTCGGGCTCGATCCCCGGAGGAAGTGTGCAAGAGGCAGCCGATCAATGATCCTCTCTCATCATTGATGTTTCTCTCTCTCTCCTCCCCTTCTCTCGGAAATCAATAAAAACATGGTAAAGAAACAGAGAAGAAAAAGAAAAGAACAGGACCTAACATAAAGGGCTGCCACGGAGCCAGCGCCTCCCACCGGTGATCTCCCACCTCCACTGAGAGTCACTGTGAGCCCTGGTAGGGGCCGCACTCGCGTTTGCTGCGTGCGGGGACAAAGCTATGACCAAGGCGGGCCCTGGCTCCAGTGTCTTTAACGCTCAGCAGCCTGGCCCCGGCGCACGCCGCACACGAGCGTCTTTAACTCTCTCAGCAGCCTGGCCCCGGCGCACGCCGCACACGCAGGCTCTCTATGGACCGAGCCCCGAACAGCTACGCCTCGTTGAACGTTTCCAGGAACCTGTGAAGAAACTGCCAGCATTGCTCCAGCTCACAGAAAAGGAAGCCACGGGGTTGAGCAAGGTTCCCAAGGTCACAAAGCCACTTAAAACAGGGCAAGGACGTGACACCAGGCAGGCCGGCTCCAGAGCGCGAGGCCTCCACTGCTATCTTTTCTTGCCACCTGAAGCGACAGTCATGTTGCCCCAGGTTACAGACCAGTGCGTCTCAAA